AAGGCTCCTTCTTAGGCTCAGTACTCTTCAATATCTTCATAAATGACTTAGATGAGGAAATAGAAGGGGAACTCATCAAATTTGCAGATGACACTAAACTGGCAGCAATAGCCAACAACCCAGAAGACAAGCTCAGGAGCCAAAAAGATCTTGACAAATTTGAACAATGAGCCCTATCCAACAAAATGAATTTCAGTGTGAAGAAAAGCAAAGTTTTACATTTAGGCAGGAAAAAAAGTTACAAGTACTGATTAGGCAAGAGCTACCTCAAAAACAGTATCTGTAAGAGGGACCTTGGAGACTTAGTGGATGATCACTTGAATATGAATCAGCAGCAGCCAAAAAAGTTAATACAATTCTGGGTTATATAAACAGAGGCATAGACTCAAGATCATGTGAAATATTAGTACCGCTTTATAAAACCCTGGTAACTCCTGGAATACTGCAAGCAATTTTGGTCATATGCTACAAAAAAGATGTTGAAACTTTGGAAAAAGTTCAGAGAAGAGCAACTAAGATGATCAAAGGCCTGGAGACTAAAACACATGAAGAACAACTTCAGGATTTGGATTTGGCTAGGCTAAGGAAAAGAAGAATTAGGGGTGACATGATAGCAATATTTCAATACTTGAGGGGCTGCTACAAAGAAGAGGGCATCAAATTATTCTCAAAAGCACTGGAGGGCAGGACAAGAAAAATGGTTGGAAACTAATCAAAGAGAGAAGCACCCCTAAAGTGAAGAAGAAACTTCCTAACAGTGAGGACAGTTAACCAATAGGACATCTTGCGTCCAGAAATCATGTGCACTCTATCACTGGATGTTTTTAAGAGTTTAGACAATCACGTATTGAAATAGTATATGTTCTCTATTGTTTTATAATAAAAGTACAACTAAAATTGGAAATTAGCCTCATATTCAGTGATATTGCCAATACGTTAAAACAGGAATGTGTTTTTATGGGATTTGGCTTCTCATATTATCCAATGTCTACAAGCAACCTTGTTGTGCTTATGTTATAAATAATTTCCATTATATCTGCCAGCTAAATGTTTTACATGAAGATTCATTTCTTTCTCTTAGAAAAAGATGGACATAAAAATCTAAAAAAGAAGAATTTTCAAAGCACATGGTTACTTTAGAAGACATTATATAAGAGAGGCTTTGTTATTAAACTGGGAGAAGGTTAAGAGGTTAAGAGGTTACATTATTTCCAGTCTGGATATCAACCATTGAAGCCTTTTCATATTCAATAGTATACAAAAAGGAACAAACAGTTAGATATGCTGAACTATTAAATACAGAGGGTGAACTTAAATCCATTCAAGACTTGAAACAGGAAGGAATTGAAATTAATTGGTACTCATATGTGCAAATACATTCTAGATACAACGAAATCGAAAAATGGAGGGTTTTTATGATAAAATGACTGAATTAGATAAAGTTTTAACAGGTACTGATGAAAAGGTAATTTAAAAACTTTATGACAACCTATTTGAGGTGAAGCTACAGGAAGAACAAGTTAAAGAAACTATGTTAGCCTGCGGGGAAAACTTTGGGCATGGGATTGAACTAGAGAAATGGCAAAAACTGTGGTCTCAAAACTATAAAATGACAATGTCAACTGCATATAGAGAAAATTTGTATAAGATATTTTACAGGTGGCACTTATCGCCAACGAGAATAGCAAGAATGGCTTAGAACAAATCGGAAAAATGCTGGAAATGTCATCGGACACTGGGCTCATACTACCACATGTGGTGGACTTGTACTGAAGCTAAAAGATATTGGACTAAAATCCACATGTGGTTGGAGAAAATGATACATAAACACATAGACTTAAAACCAGAACTCTTTTTATTGGGAAACATACCAGAAACACAATAAAGACTTGAAATATTTGATTGTAAATATCTTAACAGCTGCTAGAATTGTATTTGCAAAAAAAATGGAAAAATGAGAAAATACCAACACAGGAGGTAACTATTCGGAAAATAATGGAATGTGCTGACATGAGTAAACTTATATTAAAAATTAGAGAACAAGACGACGAACAATTTTATAAGGTATGGGATTTGTTTTACCAATGGTTAGACAAAAAAACTTGGAAATGAAATTGTTTATTTATGTTTTACCAGAAAGTTATAGTCATTGCTATGGAAGTTTTTTGCTATGAAATAGAGGGCTTGATCATATGATATATAAAGGACAATAATGTATTTAATGTATAAGAGCGGGATGATTTAAACGTTATGTATAATTGTAAGTAGTGATCATGTTATACTGGAAAGATTTTTATATGTTAAATGGACTAATGATGTAATAAATAATTGATACATACATGAATTGAAATGTTCAATAACTACTTGGATTAACAATGGAAAACTATTTTTGGAGTTGAATATGTCACACTATAAGTATTATATACTCTATGGATGATTAATATTAATGGTAACCTGAACACATAATGCTCAATGATAGTGATGTATTTAGTTATGTTTGCTGGATAACCAATGATCTTATTTCTAATTGTAAAAACTGATGCACAAAAGCTTGTAACCAAACGACATGCTTGACGAAATTGAGGAAAGTTTTTTGTATGTGTTGTTTTGTTTGTTTTAAAAATAAAAATATATTTAAAAAATAAAAAGAGGAATTTTAAAATAACATATGCTAACCAATCTCCATTTTGTGATCACTTAGTTAATTATTGCCATGTTTTAAAAATAGTTAGTTTACAAGTAGTTTAAAAGTAGTAACAGTAAGAATTTCCTGGCATTCAACCTACAGCACATAACAAAGGAATGGGAAATGAAGAATGAAAAGCCTACTCAGGCATCAATTCTTAATCTTACAAAAATATCATTGGAAGTTGTTGTCTTTTGAGACTGAATTGTATTCAGGAGAACAAATTTAATATTTTTACCTTCTTTTTCCTGAAGTACTTGGAACAATCAAACTTCATTATGATTACTTTTCAGATATTTTAAATAAGTAAATGCTAAAAGTACAATAGTCAGGAAGTTTCTCAAAAAAGAAAAAGGGAGAAATACAAACTCAGTATATCAGATAATTTTTACCCAAATTGCTTTTTCTATTTTTATTATCTCCATTTATATCATCATCAATATACCATATACATCAATACATATACATAAATCAATATATATGGGCTATCTGTAGCTGAGAACACCACTGTTTTCTCTGTGTTTCTGTTTTTGTGAAAACTGTTGTTAATCAAGAATTATTTCTGCTCTTTAAATGGGAATATTCCATAAAGTTAGATTTCCTGTTCCTTTTCTTCTTTATCTAAACTTTGCTATTCAGAGTCTGGACTTGAATATACTGTGGGAAGAACCATATGATCTTATTGTCTGTTATTCTTATTTTTGTCATGTTTTCTGCAGACAGCTGAGTACAGTACTTAACTTTAGAGATGTGATATGATGATTTTTGTAGGGGCAGAGAATAAATATGATAAATTCTGAGGAGCCTTAATGCAGATATATAAAAAGTAAATAATAACAATAATTAGCTCTTAATTAGCAAAAATATAATATTATGTACAGTATTTGACCAATTATCTTATGCTTAAGTTAGCTTGGTGTCCAAATTATTTCTTCAAAGTTTGATATGACAAGTTTGGCAGCAGAATTACTGGAAACAAATTATAGACTGTTTAGAATTCTACTCGTCACAGTTAATTTCATCAAGATTTATTTGTAGAACCATTCTATTGATTTTGTAATACTTGTAGCATAACAAAATGGGCTCCCTCTTTAAACTGAAAAGATTTAAAGGAGCAAATGACATGAATTTCCTCTACTTTTCCTTACTAGAAAAAAGTTTTTTTTCCTTTTTTTTCTTCCTTCCTTCCTTTTTTCTTTCATAAGTGTCATCAGCTTAGATCTCAGCCTTTTTCCAATGATCTTGAATATTAAAAAAGATTAAAGATTTATGAAGTGAACAAGAAGAAAAGGAGAATATTTGTAGCTCAGGATTAAATTGATGCTTTCTGAGATTTTTTTTTTTTTTTGCAGATATTTCATTACCTAAACTAGGTAACATCATCAGTGCTCAAAGAATACCAAAAACCCCTCATTGTCAACAACTGTTAAAGAATATACCTAACAAGCTGTGAACAGACATTGTTGGCTATGCAGCCTGATATGGTCATTTTCCCTCCTAAGTAGTTTCCTGACTAGGATTTATTATATATTTCTTCTTCGGCATAATTCCAACAAAAAGATCCTCCATACCAGTCTGCTACTCAGTACACGCAAAATCAAGCAGAGTAAATATATTAAATATAAACAGGTGAATTGATGCACCTGTCCCAATCTTGCTTGTTAATTTGTATTTATTATGTCTTATTATATCTTCAGTTTTGCACTGATTCTGTTACATTTTTAAATTTTAGACTCATATTTAAATTTTGATCTAATTGTGTTAACCGTTGTATATAAACATTTGCAATGTTGTCATTATGCCTTTCTTCTGCATTGTAAAAACATGTAGCTATATTTCATGTTAACATCAATCTGAAATTAAAAGAAACTTCTCAACTAGTAAAACATACACTAATGACTCTTTAAAGAAATAACCAGAACAAGAAATTAAAAAATAACAGGGAGAGTTAATATAGAAACTAATACCCAATGAGAGCTCTTTATTATCAAAAAACAGGAGAATACATTTATTTCCAAATTGGACATTCAGAAACACAGCAGAGAAAGCAGAATAAAATAAATCAGTTGTGTTGCTGAAAACAGGTTGAAAAAGATAGACAAAATGTGAAAGGGGAAAAGAAGAGAAGAAAAAAAATGTTACATTTTGTTGAATGCATTGCCAGAATGCATAATGTGGGATGCCTAGTAAACATGTCATTATTGTATCAGGAAACTTAATATATTAGTATGAGTATTGCTCATTATAACATTTCAAGTATAGAATGCAAATATTATTTAAACTTACTATTACACTGGAAAAGCCATTGAATATCTTGCTGTAATAGAAAGGTCATTGAGCATCCAAAGCTTTTCTTAAAGATATTCCTTCAAGATATTCCTGGGTTATCAATGCTGCTTCTCCAGAAATTATTTTATTTATAAAATGATTTGAAATCCATTGATGAGAATTACTTCCAATGGCAATTAAGAAGTGATAACTAACTTGTCCTACATTTAAGTGTGACTGAAAAGTCTGGCAATCCTTGCTTGATCGTAGCTTCTGATGAGTGAATCCCCAAATCTACTTCTGAATAAAGTCTAAAAATTCATTTCTTTAATTGTTACAGTAAATTATTTTAATGCATTTTGTCAGCTGTAATATTATAATACTAGTTGTGATGCACACATTCCTCAACCATTCACATGTTCAAAAGAAAGGCTAAAATAGTGTATGAATGGACATTGATTTATTCAACTATGTCTCTGAACAATGAAGGTAAGAGTAATGTCCACAAGACATGGTTATGTTAATATTGAAAAAGAAAGTTTTCTTTTAAAAAGGGACAAGAATCATAATCATTTCATAGATTTCATATATTACATCTTGTTTTTTTTCTATACACCATCGGAAAAGACAAGTTTGCACTATTATAAACATGTTATAAACATTAATATTTCCCTCTACCAATTTACAGAAGAAAAAGTTGTGTTTTATTGCTTCTGTGGATGTGCAGGTTTATATCATCTTCTGTCAATCATCTGAAAAATAATAAAGCACTTTTGAGTGCATTCAGAAGACTAATAAAAATAATCCTACAAACTTTCCACATACTCAAGAACAAAGTCCAAGCTAGCCGTGACAATAACAGATTAATGATTGACGTGTTCTTCTGTAGATACAGTAGAATATATGGAGTCGTAATTGTATAATGCTTAGCTCTTTTAAATAAATGCACATTTTATTTGTTTTCAAATAACTGGGTTTGTAATTTGTATATGTTCTCTTTTGTTCCCTTGATTGATTTCAAAGTGATAATCAGAATACTCTTAAGAGTTAAATTATTATTATGAATATAAGTAAGTGAATTGAGCAGAAAATAGTTCAGATCTAAAATGAATATTAAGGGCAACTAATTTATAATGAATCAGTAGCTTGACTTACTTATGACTGTGACGCTTCAAAACATGTCTTGATTTTTTAGTGCTGATCTTGTGACATTTTGTGCTAAGTTCAGATGGTGGATAGCTGTTGAATCCATCTATTTTGACCCAGAAAAAACATAAAGGTAAACATTTAGAATATTATAAATAGTATTCTTCTTTTCAGCATTAAATTTATAAGCACAGAAAACATTTCTACATGAACTGGGTCACCTTTTTTATATTTAAGGTGCACTAATTGTTTAAAATTCCAATTTTGTTAGCTTGGAAAGAATTTTGGCCTTTCTTGAAAATTCTGCTTGAGTCAATAAATGAGCAAGCAGAAAGATAAGAATTAACTCAATTTATTAATTATGGTGTATCCATTCCCTCTAATATTAAAAATATTAAAAATGAATATTTGATATTAATAATATCAATCTGAGGTGATATTTCATCCATATGTGGGAGAATTTGATAGAATTCCCATTCCAACCTTTGAAAAATTATTCCAGGAGAGGACAATTCATGACCAGTTGGTCATATGTCTCCCTCCAGATTGTCTTTGCTGTATGCAATGATTCAAAATGCCAATTTTGGAAAGTTTGGCTTAAGTACTTTTTTTAAAAAAAATCCAAGTTTACACATTCCTCTCTGTATAAAATGAAGACATGAAGAAGATGATTTGAAAAAGATTAATGCTATTAAATTGAGTGCTATTACACATTAAAACAATAATGAAGGGCAGAAAAACATTCATGATGGGGAAGGCTTTGCATAGATAAGAAACAAAAACCATGCTCATTACAAACACTTACTCTGAAGAAAATATAGAAAAGGTTTCAGGAACATAATGGCATAGTTTAGTTCAGGCTTGTGAATTCTACCAAGCTGAATTAGATGCTGCTCCAGAGGGTAACTTGCTAGCTCTTGAAGTTCTGTGCTATTATAGTTCCGTCCAACAGAAACTACCAGCAAGGCATAGCCTTGGCACTTGGCTCTCAGAGACACTTTCTTTAACACTGCTTTATCCCATTGACTTGTTCCGCCCACAGATATAATAATGATAACCTTGTGTTTCCTTGGGTTTGGAGTATGTGAGAAAATGTGATTAATTGTCCACTGTAGAGCATGGCCAACAGCAGTTTGACCATCCAATTGTTGAACGTATTCCTGGATATATTTTTTCATGAGCTGTTTTGTATTGAAAGTCACTAAATCAAATTCTTTCTTTGCAGGTATCACCTGAGTTTCTGGTTTCAATGCTGGTATAGCATGGCTCACCAAAGCTATTCTGTCACCAACAGAAGAAGTTGCAGGTTGAGAGGAAATATCAAAATGGTTCAAAGCTCTGCTTAGAAATTCCTTCAGTTTCTCAAACTCATCAGGATTTATTTTGCTTGAGCTGTCCAAAATGAAAGCAGCGTCCACATATTCCCTTGGTGGTCTGATTCGTCTGTTACACTCATAGACAACATCTGGTTTGCATTTATCTGGAAAAAGAAATAAAGTTAGCTTTCTCTTTACAAAGAACAAGATAATGCTTCAGGGACTGGTTTTATTGCATACTTAGGAACAGTAGTTTCAAGAGAATTGTTTTCAACCAGATGATTTACACATATTTCCAGAATTGTGCTTGTTTTATTTTTTATACCATGGTATTTTGCCAAAGGAACTAATTGAACAGTTCATGTGAGCCTTTTTTTTTCTATTTTATATTCAAATGAAAATTGACAAAGGAATTTTCTCCAGTTCTCCTGGCAGAAGAACTATATAGAGAATTAATCTATATAGAGATTATTTATTAAGGAATTGGACTGGAACTATGTAAACCTGGCTGAACCACTGCTATGGAGCTCAGCTGGTGAGTCTCCCATATATACTACCTTGAAAGGGCAGGATACATATATAAAAAGAACAGTGTATACAATTTGGTACAAAAATAGCCCTAATTTAAGTGCATTTAATTAATTTTTTAAAAATAAAATAAGCTAGACATATATTCAAATAACAGCTCCTCAGAAACTCAGTGATGCTAAACTCTTTCAGGCTTCTAGTTCAATAAAAATAATAACCATCATCTATTTCAAATATATGTGTAATATTACCATTCTTCATACCATAGCAAAGTGTGCACAGTTGGAATCTTTTCAAAAATGGTGAATAATCTCCTCCAGTGGGAATGGTGATGACTTGAAATTGTCCAGAATCATCCATCTAAAATGTTTAAAAAGTTAAGTTTGATAGATAATTCATTATTTATTTATTAAAATTAAATCATTTTGCATCAGAGCTCCACATGATAGTCTCTTCTCTTAAGATAACCTAAGATTTAAAGGGTTAGTTCTATTTTTCATCAGCATGAGAATACATGCATATATTTTCAGCAAATAAAAAAAGTTTTAGATAAATGTATATTTCAATCTGAAAATTGTCTTGATAGGATAATTGCATCAACAAAGCAACCAAAATCTTTCAGAGGACCACAAGGTTAAAAAAGAGGAATTGAAGTTTTGTGGAACTGGGCTGTCTTTATTCCACCAGACAAATGTGGACCTGCTCCCACTACAGTGTCATGCAATGTGTCATGCAAGCAAAACAAACTGCTATGTTAATCCATCTTTGTATGTATAGCCCACCTTTATTATTTGTAATAAATAAATGAAGGAAAACAAATCTATTACACTTTCCTCCTCCAATTTTACACACAACTCTGTCTAATGAGTTGGTGAAAGAGTGTTATTGACCTAAACACATCTGTTTTCCATGCATAAGGACTAGTTCTGGTTTCTAGCCTACTGCCTTAACCTAGTGCCAGAGAGCAAACTGGTTATTTGGTGTTATACTAACTGGTACTAAATCAGACTGGTTTCTGTTCCTGCCATCCTGTATGCAGGTTATAAAGATGATTTTGTAGAGGCATATAGGCGGAGACATTAGCATGGTGCAATCTGAAAAATCACACTCAGATGGCACACAATCTTTCTAGATACTGTCCAGAGACAGATATCCAATAGGTTAGTTGCCTTTTGTTTTTAACAAGAGGATAGACAACTTGGAAGGATGCTTGAAAGCTATGCACTGGAAAGGATCAAAATGAATAGTAAGCATAGACAAAAAATATGGACAAGAAAAATTTAAACATTTGGAGAATAAAGAAACTGTTTGGCAAGCAAGAAATGGTCTGAGTGCTGCAGTGATTGGATAGCAGCTATTGGATAGCCGTAACATGAGATAAAGAAACAATGATTCACAATAAAGATTGACTCAGCCTTCCATCCTACTGAGGTTGGTAAAATGAGGACCCAGATTGTTAGGGACAATTTGCTGACTCTGTAAACTATTTAGAGGGAGTTGTAAAGCTATGAAGTGGTATATAAGTCTAAGTGCTATTACTATTGCTGTACTTCTAATATTATATATTCTGTAACTTGTTTTATTTAGTGCACAGATATAATGCTTTCAATCTTTTTGATCATACATAATATTTGTGCTCTCTTTATGATTCATAACTAAAATTCATAGAATAAAATAATTTTATCTTCTCATAACTTATTTCCTTATTTATTTAACTTATGTTATAAATATGTGCAAAGTTATAGTTGTCAGTAAGGCAGAACACACTTAATTATTAGATGCAAAGGAAGTGAAAGATTATAATTTTAATCTCACCAGAAAAGCATGATTGATCTCAGGCACATTGTTAAAAGCTAAGATGACTGGGACAATCTCTAATGCACTGTATTCAAGGAGTGCTGTGTTGACAGAACTTGGATGGTCAGACTCTCCATTGCTGAAGAAGACAGCAATTTTCCTCACATTAGCACCTTGGAGAGTTCGCTTGAAGAGATGTCTGGCAACAAACCTCATGGATCCACCAATGTCACGTCTGTTAGTTGTTCTCTGCAAAGAAAGTCTATTGAGCTCCTGCAACAACTTCTTTTTATTCTGGAAATCTATAAAGCGGATCAGATAATTGGTGTTGGAGCTGTAGGACACAACAGCCACTCTGGCTCCCACAGGACAATTGCTTTCTCTGATGTTTGCTTGGTTCACAGTCTCTGTGACAATCTTTTTCATCTGTTCAAACATCTGGAATGTGGTATCCTGGGATATATCCAAAGCGAATACTAGTTCCGTAGCATATGCTGGACATTCTGCTGTTCCTACAACAATAACCCAGATTGGTCATTGAACCAGGCTTTTTTTCTTTTAATTTTATTTATACCTTTTTCTTTATCTTTAACATAGATAGGTGCTTAGGGAACAATGTATTGTCTGTGTCAATTTTCTTTATACACGATAATAATATTAATAATACTTTTTACATATGCATAATAATCATCTTTCAACTTCTAATACTTATATATACATAGTAGTAATAATATATTATATTATATAGCAGTACACCTAATATTTTCCCACTTTCTAGTTTCTACCTCTATTCCCTGGCCACTAATAGGAGAAGTCACATATCAAAAGGTATTTGTATCTAAACATCATCTCTTGCCCTTTTTAATATTTCCTTGTTGATTTTTTGACAAATCTCACATGCTCCTCCCTTGAAACCTTATATCTCTTTACATCACTCATACTTAATCTAAGTATTTCAGCTGCCTCTACGTCTACCTCTTGCTTTCCAGTCTCTAAAGTAGCCACCAATAACTCTTTCATCACTTCTGGGAGAGGAGATCTCCTTCTTTACCCTCTTCTATATTTTGACCTCTTAAATAGTAAATTCCCTTCTCTGTTTCAAGAGCTATTACTATCTCCCCCAGATATGTTTGTGTCAGTTGTTGATTTTCCTCTTCTATTCTTTCTTCTGCTCCTTCTAATTTCTCCTCTATTTTCTGGATTTTTTGTTCATTTTCCTGTCATTTGCTGATAATTTCCTAATCTCATTTCTATCCCATGCATCTGTTCTTCATCTCCCTATGATTCTTTTGTCATAGTTTCTTGAATATATTGAAACATCAATTTTATTTCTTTTTGAAATGTATTTGTTTTTCCCTGTTGTAATATCTTACTTTATTTAATGATCTGAAAGTTGCTCAATAATCAAATCCCAATGTCCCAATTGTCCAGAATACAAAAAAGCCAACAAGAGAAGAGTTTGTTCAACCCTGGAACTGTTTTTCAGAGTCAACATATTTATCTTCCTCAGAGTCAGTCAATTTACTTCCTCTCAATTGTCCAAATTTGTAGATCTTGTTTAACTTTTCTTCTTTTGCTTCATAGGAGTGAAACAATATTTATAATCTAAAGCAGCCAATCAAATTCCCAATCATTCAGACTCAAGAGCAGTTCAAAGCAATTCCAAAAAAGAGCATGTTGTTTACCATCTGCACTACTTTAAAGTCTTCAAAAGGCTCACCATTTACTCCCAAACTGTCAAAAAGCAAATCTTAAAGCTACCATTGTCCACCAGTAGATATCCTCTCTGCTCTTTCTCTTTTCACATACTAAATTCTATTTAAAATAATCCATTGTTCCAGGTGTTATTTGCTTTTCTTCATTTTGTTTCCCTTCTTTTGATCAATCCTGGCCTTTTCCAACTATGTAGTATGTTTTCCCACCAATAGGTGTCATTCCAGCTCTAGCTTTCAATATTGAAGTGAAAGTTATACCAGCTGATTGTCAAATAATCAAAAAGATTGTTTTTCTTTATAAAATTCCTTCCAGTGGTCAAAAAATATCTGCAAATTTAACTCACTTTTCACAATATTAGAAATTCCAGTCTGTTCTTTCTAAAACTTACTGTCTTCCATTACAGTTCCATTTCTCTTTTGGATCTGTGATTTGGGTCATTAATTCTTTTATTTGGGGATAGGTTTCTTAAATAGAAGTTGAAAGTTGTCTCACACAGTTCTAATACTCCATTCACCAACAGCTCATTAGTGCTTCTTTCTTCGGTTGCCCCAGCTTTGGTCTGGCCATAATGACTATCTCTCTTCTTTGTTGGTTTGGAGGGTGCCTTGGATCAAGTGAGAGAGTGGCCACTCCCCCATGATCAACAATAAAGGTGATTTCTTCATCACCCCTCCAGGGTGACTTTAGCTCCTTGCTGCCTCCCAAATGAAGAAGATTCAGCTGGGATTCAAAGAGCCCTGCTATCCTTGACCATCTCACCGTGATGCCAAACTGGAAATCCAGACTTTTTTAAAGGGGTGGGTGGGTTTCAAATATAACTAATTATCTTGAGGCTCCCTATCCTATTGTCTTTACAGCCTGCCACCTAAGTGACCAAAAGCAATGCTAGATGGTACTTCTCTTGCAAACTGTTCACAAGCAATGCCACATGGTAGGTCAATACTTGAATACATTTAAATGGAGAATGAAGCTTACCTTGGTAGCAAGCTAAAGAAAAGAGAGAAAATAATATGGTATTATTGTTTAGTAGATATTTCTACTATATAAATTATTCAATATAATTTTGATCTCTTACTTTACAGTCACACTTGGATATCAATGTCTGAGGACTGTTTTTAAATGCACAGGTCATTCGTATAAAGCAGAAATTTGTTTGATTTGAATGAATCTGATAATGACCGTAATTTTCCCCTTCCTAATGCTGTCTTATTAACAATGATTCTATTATATTTTTATTCTATATATTTCTATTATGCATGTTACTAGTCATGAGCACTATTCAAATTATTGCTATGTTATTCAATGTATTTGGCTTAATTTTTCATTGTACTGTTCCTAATATGCTTATTTTTAGGTTGTGCAGCAATTTTTCCATTGACAGTTGCTTTGAGATTTATTAAACAAACAACACCAGACAACTTTAAAAAAATAGTATGAAAAATAAGTCAAAAATGAAGGAAATGGATGAATAAAAAGATGATATGATTTTAAGGAAAAATCTGAATATTTTAGAATATCTACAATATTTATCTACTGAAATTTGTACTGACAAGTCTGATTCACTAGAAAAAAATATAGTTGATAGAGGTTCAGAATGAATACATGTATTATTGTAAAGTGTCTTAGTCTGATTAATCTAATTTTAAATCTGATAACACTAAATAAATTTCATGGGATTTTTTCACACAAATTTATTAATTTCCCTCTTCTTTTCCAATTATAATTTGGTATCAACTTTAAGAGCGAATAGAAAGTTCTTACTCAAAGCTTTACTTAGGCTAATTTGGTTTTGAGTCCATAATTAGTACATTCCTAATATAGGACAAAGAGGACCAAATTATCCATGTTGTCGAGCAAAATTCAACCAGGAAAAGGCATCAGAAGCTCTGATACTGACTTTGAAACAAATCTGATATGTGTAAATGGAAGCAATTACATCTGTAAATTTGGCAGAATTGTCATAATGCACTATCAAAGATTTAGCTTTTCCAAGAAATTGGCAGGTATATTCTGTTTGTGTAGGAACATTTAACCACACAGGGAAAAAGAATTGTATAGAAACCACAGTAGCAGAAAAAAGGCATGGGTGGGTTCATTTTTTTGTGCTTTGATTTTTATTTTTGCTCCTATTATCCCATCATAATTGAATAATCCACAACACCATAAACTTCCGAAGTCACACTATCTTAATAGCGCCTTAATGAATGAGAATGTCTGCTGCATTGAGACACTCTAGCTTCTTTCAATTTAAAGCTGCTCACTCATATGGAACACAACTGTATTTATTAGAATGGAAAACACTCCAGCTAATTGAATGCTTGCCCAAGACAATTATTATGTTACAAATTGATACTTACAACTATGCTTCCGAATATAAGCAATGAGCGCACATGGCTGTAAAATGAAAAAAGGAGAAATTAAAGACTATGGATGATCTGAATAAATGTTTCCGTGAATAGGTTTTAATATATAAGTTAGCTATAGTAAATGCTTACTGAAAAGGAAGCCATGCCTTTGAATCCTTTGTTACCCTGAAGAGAGAGAAAGAAGCATAATATATTTGAATAAAGTATTAAAAAATGTCTTTGCATGTATAAGAACAATGGAAAATTTAGATGATAGTGATACAATAATCAGAGATAACTGCAACAAAATTCTTATTCAGCCTGGCTATTTGTTACTGTTTCTATATCTTGGAATTATGAAATGTCCCATTTAGGAAATATAAACACAACATACAGGTACTTCAAAGCCAAGCAATTATATTAAACTAGCACATAACAAACATGCCTCCAGCTTTCTAGCATTTACATTTACTTCTATAAACATCTGAGGTTAATAACGGCAAGATCCAAAAACATTGTGCATATGTTCAGAAGCACCAGCCAAATGTACTAAATAGGAATTAAAACAACCATGAATATAGAATTGCAATCAATGTAGGAGTCATTTATAACAGTTCTTATGAGTGAGATCTTAATATGCTTTTAATGTAATTTTTAATTCATGATTACTATTCATATTTAATTTTCTGATTTTGAGAGAAGGGTGATTTGCCAATTGAGTTAAATAGTCAGTGCTCCATTAAAATTTAAATAATGTTAAATAAATCAATATATTTATCTCCTTAATCTAACTCAGGCTCTTTAATATGATGCTCTTATATAGAGCTTCAGGTCCTATCATCCAAAGCCAACATGCTGAATTATTACTTTTCTTCTGATAATAGAAATCACCTCATAGATTCAAAGCATAATAAAAAGAATGATACAAGCAAGGATACAAATATTGAATTAAGCCCATCATTCTCCCATTATGTTGTATAAGACTACAAGATAAGGATAATCATCAAATAAATCTTTGTGATTTAAACCAACCTAAGATATACAGAAGAAATATTAATTTTAAGACAGCAGTAAGTGATCTTTGAAAGGGCAGATTAATAGAAATAAAAATAATAGCAATGATAATAGAAAATTATGGATTAGCCTGGGAGGTTTTGTTTTTGCTATTTTTATGAAGATTAGGATTTGTTTTAATGTAATAAAATTTAAAAACCAATTCTAAAGTATTAAGGACTATTCTTGTCTATGCCTCACAGGGAAATTGCTTCATTGGTTTTCAGCAGAAAACTGTACAATGTGACTGGCGGAGCTCAGCTACCCAGACCAAATAGCTCCAGTGATACATACCACCAATGCATTTTCCATCCTAGGCCTAAGAAAAAGTCAATCTATATGAGCAGAGACAATCAGAATAGAATACATGCACTTGCCACAGTAACATAAAAAAAGAAACTTAAAGAGTTCACTTTCTTTACAAATTACTATTGGATCTTTCTGAAATACATATTTCCCTGAAAATAAAGTTAACTACAGAAAATTGTATAAATTTGCATACCCGCCGACCTGGAGGACCATGGTTTCCTAATGCTCCTTTTTGGCCGGTGGCACCTGCAGGACCCTGAAAACAATGACATTGGAAAATCTATCATTAAAAAAAAACTTTCAGTCACCCATCCTGGAAATTTCAAGCGAGTGATGCTAATGAAACCCAGTAAGTGATCTGAAGTGATAAGTTAAAGTTCCTATATAACATCAACAAATAATTCTGATTCTTTATGGCTATCATTTAAAGAGATATACAATTAATTCTATGAATCCAAGGGAATTTAGATTTGTATCTAGTATTTATCAAATTCTCTTCATTTTCTAAGCCATTTTTGCAATCATCTTAAAAACTAGTTTTCATAAAAGTTCCACAAAGTGCATAGAAGCCCTAAATCCTTTAATTATAATTTTTTAGCCTGCTTGTTTAACAGTTTATGTCATACTGCAACAGACCTTCCTTTGAAAGTAGCATTTATAGATACAATTGGATTTATTATTAATCATACTATGTTCTTGACTATGAATTACTTTTATATAATTTAGAATATATATTAATTACTTGCCTTTTGCCCTTGCATCCCTCCTAATCCAATTTCTCCTGAAAGTCCAGGATTGCCAACATCACCCTAAATTAAATAAATTTTTTAAAAATATAAATTTTAAAGTGAAATTATTATTAGACACTTCTGATTGTTATAAAATTCATAAAAGATACCTTAACAGAGCAACCATATTTTAATTTATCTGGAAACTTATTAAGCTCAGTTAAATATATTTCTAAATAGACATAAGTTGTAAGAATTTTTAAAAATACAAAACGTATTAAAATGTTAAATCCAAACTAGCACAAAACCTATGCCTCTACCAGAATCAAATTGCTGTCATACTACAACTGCACTACCAGGATATTTCTTCCCACACCCCACACCCCAAAAAGAACACCTCATTCTGCTGTGCTCAAATATGGTGAAAAATGTCCTCTGTAATGCAATGATTAATCAACCAATTCCAGTCAGGGGCTGTTTGGTCTGGTGCCAGGTATAAAAAGTACCTTTGTTTTTAGTTTTAATGGATTATTATGAACCATCTAGAATCAATGTGTAAATAGATAGCCATATATATAAACTGGTCATAGATCGGAATAAGATGACACCCAAGCTGAACCACTGAATTACTTTATTAAGGTTTAACCTGTGGGACTAAATAATTTATTTTCCACCACAAAGAGACTGTTCACTGTTGTCCAATTTTATTTGTATTCTATGCAGTTACACAGCCTTTTTTATATCATTTTTGGAACATCCATTACCTCTTGCCCTACATCTCCAGGAAATCCGTTTTGCCCCTATAACACACAAATGGAAGAAGAAAATTTATTCTTGAATAAAGGATGCAACAAACATTAAAAAAAAAAAACTAAGCATCTCAATGGAAAAATGCTTATCAGATATTTCTGGTCTCCGAATTCAATTCATTTAAATATCCCTTCACTTGAATGTATAAACTTTTTCCTTATTGTGCCCAGACAATCCTATTGTTTATCTTCTATTCAATATTTTATTCAACATGAAACATTACTTTTTTTTTTACACTTTAAGAAGTGGGGGGGCGGGAGGAGAAAAAAAGAGCCAACTTTCCCTTCCACAAACTTCTGCTAATTCTGAGACAGATCTGGGGAATATGTTATGGTTTTCATATTACAATTGATTATGGGATTTCCCCTTAAAATAATTAAATAAATAACCATTTATTTCTGTCTCTTCTTTTAAAGTTTTCTACAATCTAATTCTGAAAGTCTATGGAAATTTCTTATGATTAAAAATTATCCTTCAATTTATTTTAACATTATATTATTATTTTTAACTTAAACAATTGAAATGATTAGGTAGCTACATATTTTCTTGGTTTAAAAATTGCCACAATTTTTAAACCAAGATTTAAAAATACAGATTTCCATTGATCTGAAACAAAAAAAAACCCTTCCCAATATGGATTTTGACTCCTAAAATAAAAATTGTTTGAAAACTGCAATATTTTCTCTCCCCAAAACAAATCTAAATATTTCGTCATATCTGGATTTGTGCCCAAATTGCATTATTTGCTTTGACCTAAACCCTACATTTGATTTGAACCATTGATTTTTCACTATGCTGGAATACTTCACAATTAAGTAAGCAAACATACCAAAACTACTACACAATTTCTTGCCCAGTTCTCCAAAGTGAAAAGATGATAAAGTGTCACAATTGGTGCACAAAAATATATTATATTTTGTTCTTATCTCTAAAATAAAACATGCTTTATTTCTATTCAATCCAATGATAATTGAAAGTCTGATTTTCATTTAAGAAATACTGTACTTACCTTTATTCCTTTATTTCCCAGCTTACCATATCCAATTGCACCACTATCCCCCTAAAATAAAATTTTAACTTATATTATTTAGGATTTTTGTGCTCACCACAACTACACATTAATAAAGGGTGGATTTGACTGCTTAACTTTATCAAGTTTTCTCATTGCATTTGGATGTCACAAGATTAGGGAAAATTCCCCAACATGAATGGGAAAATAAATTATCTTGCATGTTTTTCCTACTAGCTTTGTAGGTTCTTTTAAAGAAGAGAAAAGAAAGTGAAATTCAGATGGATGATGAGTGGTATTATTGGACTTACTTTGTTAACAATAGGCAATGGGTAGTGTGAATATCCCACCTTTCATAGTCATCATCCAACAGCTGCAGGTTCTTGAACTTTTCACTCCTTGATTACATTTATTTATTTTTATTTAATTATTAAATTTATATGTCATTCATCTCATTCTGCAAAGTAACTCTGGGAGAATTATATTGCATGTAATGATAATATAAGGAAAACCATATTATTCCTGGGAGCACAGTAAAAAAATAAATGAAGAATGTGGTCTAAAACTGCAGGTGTAATAGATATGTTGTTATATGCCATCCTGACTTTTCACACACAGACACACACGCACACGCACGCACACAAACGTGCGTGCACACATACACACACACACGTGATATTGCGCATTAATTTTTATGAGTGTTGTTTATATCATCATTAGAGGGGGTATTCTATCCCTGAGAAAATATTGAAAAATTTATCCTGGAAAAATTTGGAGAAGCCATTTAATTTCTCTGTCCATGAATCTGATGGAGACTTTCAAAAGATATTTTATGTCCAAATCTAATGCTACTGCAACCCAGTCTTTCTTTTAACTGAGAATTATGAAAACAGCACATGAAAAAGAATATAAAATAGTAGTTGGGATGAACATTGGAATTAAATATATTAATACAAACCCTTAGCCCCCTTAGTCCAGGTAATCCTCTCTCACCCTTCATTCCAGCATCACCAAACTCTCCCTATGAAAGGACAAAAAACTGGTATACTTAAATTGAATCTAATTTCAATGCCATAATATATTGTGAAAGTACTGTAGCAGTATATTTAATTATAGCTGTACACTAAACACCAAAGCTATCCAGAAGATCACATAAATTACATAAGATCTGTAGAGCAACGCTGTAGATCAATGGTACCCAACCTTTCCACCTTGGCAGCTCAGCCCAATGTGGGGTGTGTGTGTGTGTGTGTGTTTGTGTGTGTGTGTGTGTGAGAGAGAGAGAGAGAGAGACAGAGAGAGAGACAGAGAGAGAGAGAGAGAGAGAGAGAGAGGCGCAGCAGACATGCGGGCACATAGCTCCATTAGTGCAAGTGGAAGGTGTGTGCACCCTCTGCTCACACTAATGGAGGTTCATGTGTGACTGACAGATCCTTGCGCTCAAGCACGAAGCTCCACTCATGCAAGTAGCCAATGCTTGTGCTCACGCACAAAACTCCATTCGCATGAGTAGATAGTAGTCATGCGTGAAGCTCCATTCACATGAATGGAGCACATATGCCCTCCTCAAATGCCCTTTATTCGCATGAGTGGAAGTTTGCATACTTGCACTTGCCTGCTGCTCACACAAGTGGAGGTCCACGCACACGCTTGCCCATTACTCGTACTGCCCAGTTTCAAACAGGCTGCAGCCTGGTAGTGGGCCACCGCCCAGGGTTTGGGGATCCTGGCTGTAGTGCAATTGCTTGTAAAAAGAATGGATTTTTCCCTCCACAATTGGTCAAGGAAGAAAGCACTTACTCCAATGTGAGGAGATATTTATGCCATGAATCTTTGTAACAATTCAATTTTCTATTTTGTGGATTCAGATTTCTTAGGAGTATATTGGATATTATATAAATTAGCAATGGATTTTGGGTGAATTGTTTTAACATTGATGAATGATGATGTAGAATGGAGAGAATATTGGCAATATTACAGTGGTTTCTACCATCCACATTTTTGGGGTGAATAAGTTTTGCTTTTAGATGACATTTAAGGAAGCAGACTTCAATTAGGAGTGGAGTGGCATGGCATAAAGTAGAGTAGAGTAGGGTAGGGTAGGGTAGGGTAGGGTAGAGTAGAATACTTTATTTGACACACAAGAAATTTGTTTCCAGATATAAGCTTACAGTGTACATACAAACAATAAAGTAATATAATAATAAGATACCTATCAGGTCCCAGATATTTCTACAGGGACACTGGCATTTTGGTAGGAGGAAGGGGGGAGAAATGGAGTGATCTGTATATGAAGTTTCTGTTTCAAGTGTCTGTTTCCTGCATTATTGTGTTAATCTCTATATGAAGTTTCTGTTTCCCTGCAATAACGTAGTGTGGGAAGGGTTTGGTTAGCATTGCTTTAAATAGCTGGCTTTAAGTGAGAAGCTTCAGTTCTTGCCTAGATCTCTTGTTATCACAAACCTTTCAATAAAAGCTCCTTTTGGAACCATTGCTGTTTCAAGAATCCTGCTTTCTTGGGAAGATTGGAGAGGCAAGGCCTTACAACACCCATAGGAGAATATAATAGAAAAATGAGAAGGATAATAGTAATAGAACTATATTACATGGGTAAATATCTTTATACATAAGACAGGGTAGTATTGTGGTAATTAGGTGTTCAACAGAGTGATGGCACAAGGGAAAAATTCTTTGTGACTAGTTGTTGTAGTATGCAATGTGCTAAAGTGGCACCCTGAGGAGAGGAGATGTCCAGGATGAGAGGGGTTTATAGATAATTTCTCAGTCTCTTTCTAACCCATGCGGTATACAGGTCCTCAATGGAAGATAGACTGGCTGCAATTGTTTTTTCTGCAGTCCTAACTATCCATTGAAATCTGTACCTGTCCTGTTTGGTTGCTGTGCCAAACCAGACAGTTATAAAAGTACAAATGACAGACTCAATAATTCCTCTGTATAACTGTATCAGCAGCTCCTTGGGCAGTCCAAGCTTAGTTAACACAGGAACAATATTCTTTGTTGTGCCTTTTTAATGATAGTTCTAATGTTAGGTGTCCATTTCAAATCCTTGGAAATTATAGAACCCAGAAACTTGAAGATCTCTATACTGTCTTCACTATGATTAATAAAAATAAATTTATAAAGTTAAAATTAAATCTAACTTAAATTTAATAGTCTCACTACCTAATCAATCTTGGCAAATCTTAGATGCTAAACAAGGTCAGCCATGAACATACTTGGATAGACAACAACCTAAGAATTCCAGAGCTGGGAAGTTAAACTTGATTCTTAGAAAAAGGCAATGGCAATCAACATCAATACTACCGTTGGCAAAAAAAATTGTATATAATATTATTTTTCCATGTACCATATTTTATTACATTTCCCTTTCATCACATTAAACTGCACAGTTTGAGAACAATTTCTACATGTTTCCAAGCCCTTGGAAGGCAATGATGTTATATTTGAGAACAATCTTCTGTTGACAACCTTCTTTTTAGGCAGAGGACAATATCAAAGTAAATATGAACATATCCTGAAAAGGAATATAGAGATACACTGTTGCTTCTAAAGAAAAGTAAAATTTGATACCTTATTCCCTCTGGGTCCCAATTTCCCAGGAACACCTACTGTACCTATTCTTCCTGGAACACCCTAAAATAAATAAAGAGATAAACTCATCTGGAGTTGATTAAGTAAGATAATGCTTCACTTAAAATTCTCCCATAATTTGATGCCATTATAAGAATGTCAAATGAGGCATATGCTGTTCTTGTTTTGTCCTTCCACTTCCAATTCCACTTGAAGAAAGAGGCTTAGCTTTGAAAATTTCATTCCAAGAGAATAATAATTTCATTGAAATTATCCTGGATGGAGAGAAGTGATCTTTTCTAATTTCTGAATGGCCAGAAATTAGATTATGTATGAAGAGAGGGGAATATTCCTCCATGGATGCAAGAACTTCTCCAAAGACCTGCAGCCTTCCCAACTTTACCTGATGAGGTCAGTCCTAAGAGAAAACCTAATCAGAAAACTACTTTCAGAAGACTTTTTCAGATTGGGATGGATGGACAGGTATCAAGTCTTCAGAATGATGGGAGATATATAAGAGAAATACCTAACACCATGACTAGCGCTACTAGTACTCTACTATTCCCAATAAATAAATAAGCTAAAAAGATTCACAAGCTCAAAAGATTAACAAGCTCCCCAAAACAGAGTAAAAGACCAACAAATTCTGCAGAGATAATTTCTGAAAAATTATTCAGTAGATTTTGGCATAGCATTACCTGAAGCAGATAAAAACAAAAACAAAAAACAAAACCTTGTGAGGGGACAACCCACTCCACTTTTATCAGCATAAATACAACATACACACACACACACACACACATACACACACACACACATTTATTTATTTATTTATTTATTTATTTATTTATTTATTTATTTATTTATTATTGAGACATACTGGGAATCCTTTCCTTCCTGAATTTCCTTTCATTCCTTTCACTCCCTGAAGTCCTTTTTCACCCTAGAAACATAAAAAACCAGTATTAACTTCAAACAGAACACCCAAAGGATGCAGACTTAAAGTCTTATTTCTACTTATTCATTAAAACAATTCAGATACTAAGCAACAGTTTCTTGGAAATCCATTACTAATTTTGACAATTGTTGATTAAAAACAATGACTGAAAATAAGTCAATGAAATCATTATAAAGAAATGTTGACTCAATTAATTGGGGATATTTTGTTTCTTCCTGTTTACATTTCTTTATCTGAAATACACTCCATCTTATGATTGTATTAGTCAACTGCTCTTTTCAAATAGTACCTTCAAAAACTCTGTCTTATCTCAGGAAAAGGTAAGCAGATTAGATCTGATTAGTAATTGGATATAACACCACCAGAAAATCTGAGGGCTATAGACTGAATTGAGAACATGGAAAAAACATCATCAAAGAACCAAATGACAAATTATTACTAAGAAAATTACATGAATTTACTCAAGAAGATTTAACATCAACTTCAACTCAGCTACATCAATCATTGGCCAGTCAAGAAGTTGCATTTTTTCCTTAGAAGACATGTTCTGTGCATTTGAAGAGGATTCAATGTTAGAGATTTAGAAGAAATCCAGCATCTTCCAATTTCTTTACTTTGAAAAAACTAACAAGTCATGAAGGTAGATCAAGTCCTTTTTTTGGATAGTTGCAATTCAATTTTGAATTCACCTGTGGGCCCTTAAATCCTTGATCTCCAGGAAAACCCCTTGGACCCTGGGCTCCATTTCCTCCCTGTAATAACAGAAATGACTGCTTAAAAAAAGGATCCATTAAAAGAAAGTAACCCATAGTCAAGCTAAACAAAATAATATAGAATATTCAAATCTTTTGCTACCTGGACTAACAGGAGGCCATACTTTGCCAGCTTTGTCCTCACTGGACTCATCAAATACAGGTAGTCCTTGTGTTATGACCACAATTGAGCCCAAAATTTATGTTGCTAAATGAAACATTTGTTAAGTGAGTTTGCCCCAATTTACGACTTTTCTTGACACAGTTGTTAAGTGAATCATTGCATTTCTTAACTTAGTAGCGTGGTTGTTAAGTAGATCTGGATTCCCCATTGACTTTTCTGGTTGGATGGTTGCAAAAAGGAATCATGTGACCCCGGGACACTACAACCATCATAAATATGAGTCAGTTGTCAAGTTCCTGGATTTGGATCACATTACCATGGGGATGCTGCAACAGTGGTTAGTGTGAAAAACAGTCATAAGCTACTTTTTTCAGTGCCATTGTAACTTTGAACGGTTACTAAATGAACTGTTTAAATCGAGGACTACTTGTAAATGTAGTCTATGGGGTTCAAAGTCTCTACTGGGAATTGAGCTCACAAATATTTGCATTTTAAATGACTGTATGTAGAGCATTAGCTTTAACAGCCATCCACATCTTAGTGCTTGGAATTGCACAAAGAAATATCTTATGTACTTTTGCAATTTTTGGAGGTAGATAGATTAATTGATACATATGAGGGTAAGTAGGTAAGTGAGTAGAATTTAAAACCATAAAATCCTAGATTCATCCCCCATCTCTCTGTATTGCACCACAAAATCAAGAAACAAAGTTACAGGATATGCAAATATATATTTTAATATGTGTTGGCAAGGCCACTGTGGTGGCCGCACTTCTGGTGGAGTGGGGAGTGACGTGTCTGGGGACCGGTCTGGATTGGCTGTCATAGGCGAGGGCAATACACACCTTCAACCAGTGCCCGATGGTATTGGAGGAGACTTTCTGTCCCATAGATGTTGGCTGAAAGGACACAAATAGTGCCTCTGACCTCCTGAATGATATGGTACTGCAGAGGGTATTGGGAGTCAGTCCCTTGTCCATGCCCATCTGTAAGAAGCCTAGTACCTGTGGTATAGAAACCTTGATAGGGTCAACGCCGGCTGCATGGCCCCACCTGCAGAATGCCTGCCAAGTGGCCTCGTAGATGCATTCCATGGACAGGTGGCGTGCTGCCTGGATTGTGTCAATGACTTTATCGGAGAAGTGCTGTCGGATCAAGATAGTCCGCTCATGTGCCCACACGGCTAACTGTAACAGTTGGGGATTCGGGTGGATGAGGGCCCCCTGAGATAGGCATATCCGATTGTCTGGAATTCTCCAAGGGCATGAGACCGACAGATGGATAAGGTCAGCATACCAGGGGCGTCTGGGCCACATCGGAGTGACCAGGAGAACTTCTGCCTGCTCCGCCAGAATCTTCTGAATGAGAAATGGCACCAGTGGAAGAGGTGGAAAGGCATACAGGAGGCCTCCTGGCCAAGGGCTGCGAAGTGCATCGGTGCCTCCACCTTGGAATCTGGTGAAAAACCGTGGCAGATGCACTTTGTGAGGTTGAGCAAAGAGGTCCATTTTGGGCTGGTCGAATCGGTGAGATAGCTCCTGGAACAAGGCCGGATGGAGCCACCACTCCACTTGGTCCACCGTGGCCCTGCTCAACCAATCAGCCTGTATGTTGGCTGTGCCCAATATGTGTTCTGCCCGGATTGATAACAAGTGGGCTTCCGCCCAATGGTGGAGTCTCTCCCCTTCTAGCATCAAGGACTTGGACCGAGTGCCCCCTTGGCGGTTGACATGTGCATTGGAGGCCATGTTGTCGGTGAGGACCAATATGTGGTTGGTCATCACCAAGTCCCGAAATTCATAGAGGTCTAGATAGATGGCCTGCAGCTCCAGCCAGTTGATGCCGTTTCATAACTCCTGGGCACTCCAGTGTCCTTGTGCTACTTGGTTCAGGGTGTGAGCCCCCCACCTGAATAGGCTTGCATATGTCTGACACCAGTTTGTTGACATCTGGTGGAGACACATATCATCAGGAGCAAGCCTGGCCTGTAGCTGTCTAAGCCAAACCAATGAGGTCCTGTTGAAAAAGGAGGCTACTGTAGCAGCTCGCAATGCCAGGAAGCTGCCTGGTGTATTTTACGGATGACCAGCTCAGCCTTGCAGCCCTCGGCCTTGAGACCCTCTGAGATTTCGGATGGAATCAATGCTGGGGAAGTCAAGACTGCTACTGGGGGATCTACTGTAGGGAATTGTAGGATCCCATCAAGCAGCACATAGGAGAATTATGTGGTGTAATGATATTGGTTGCACTTCTTTTCTCCACATGGTTTCAGAATGTCATTCTTTAATGAAAAATGTAATTTTATTTTATTATGCTATTTTTATTGAATTTAATACCTAACTTTTCTCTTTTTATAAACACTTAAGGAAGTTTACAGAAAGAGGCCACCAAGGTTAGTTAGACTGAGAAAAGTGCTACATTGATATATATAGCAATAGCAATAGCAGTAGACTTATATACCGCTTCATAGGCCTTTCAGGCCTCTCTAAGCGGTTTACAGAGAGTCAGCATAT